GCCAGTGCTGCTTGTATCCAAACCTTGGGAAATTGAGTTCTCAATTTCTTGCAAATTTAGCCCTGAAGATCAATGCCAAAGTTGGAGGTTGCACAGTTGCTTTGTACAACTCATTACCTTCTCAGATTCCACGTCTTCTCCGGCCTGATGAACCTGTCATCTTTATGGGTGCTGATGTGACTCATCCTCACCCGCTTGATGATTTCAGCCCATCCGTTGCTGCTGTGGTTGGTAGCATGAACTGGCCTGCAGCAAACAAGTATGTATCTAGAATGAGGTCTCAAACACATCGACAAGAAATTATTCAGGATCTTGCTGCAATGGTGGGGGAATTACTGGATGACTTCTACCAAGAAGTAAACAAATTGCCCAATAGAATAATCTTCTTCAGAGATGGCGTTAGCGAAACTCAATTCTATAAGGTGCTTAAAGAGGAATTGCAAGCTGTTAGAGAGGCTTGTGCAAGATTTCCAGGTTATAAACCGCCCATTACGTTTGCTGTAGTTCAGAAGAGGCATCATACAAGGTTGTTTCCATTTGAAATTGATCCTTCCACTCAAAACCAACCTTTTGATGAAAATATTCCCCCAGGGACCGTAGTGGATACTGTGATAACCCATCCAAGGGAATTCGATTTCTATCTTTGTAGTCATTGGGGGGTGAAGGGTACTAGCCGCCCAACCCATTACCATATCTTGTGGGATGAGAACCAATTCACTTCTGATGAACTGCAGAAGCTGGTTTATAATCTATGCTACACGTTTGTAAGGTGCACCAAGCCAGTTTCTTTGGTGCCGCCTGCTTACTATGCCCACCTGGCTGCATATAGGGGCAGGCTTTACCTAGAGCGATCGGAATCTGTAACTTTTCTGAGAAGTTCTTCCACAATCTCTCGTGCAGCTCCTCCAAAGGCAACACCTCTACCGAAACTAAGTGAGAATGTTAAGAAGCTTATGTTTTACTGCTAAAATGATCACAGGCTCCATCTTGTCAAGATTTCTTGAATTATATGATCTTCACACTGCATAATTGTATTCCTCACATTCACAGATGTAGTTGCAGTAAATGAAAGTCTACTACCACTTTAGCGAGCCAGTTTCCATGATTACAACTTGTAGGCAGGCTTCAAGAATTTATTCTTAGTAGCTTAATTTGATCCTGCAAATTGTTGGACATCCTCGTCGCAGCAAAGTGACAAATGTTAAATTTCATTGTGAACAGTCTTTCCTATGTAGTTTGTACCTTGCAGGAATATCCTCTTGTTCTTTCCAGCTTTCGAAAAGGATCAAGTTTAATCTGCTTCTGATTAACAAAACATTAGATACAGAACTGTAAGAAAAACTCCATAAAGAATAAGCTCTATAAAATCTTAATGATACTAAATGCAGGAGTCTAACTTGACAGTTCATGTGGATTAGGTGTAGAATCATCAAATCATTAATGATTTAAACTAAAAGGAGTAACTGAGTAATGAATGGCAAGAATTCCACTGTAACTCTGGGAGGAATACTTGGTATAGTTCACTAGCATGTCCTGAAAACATAAGTGAAGAAAACAATTATTTATCATTCTATTAAGGAAAACAAAAAGCAAGAAAAAGGAATGGTTATAGATAGTTAAATTGGAGGACCATAACTGTAAGTGTGAGCGACCTTCATTTATTTATTTACTTTGTTTTGGTTGGTACAGACGGCTGTGACATTTCCAATATCTTAGCGAAACCAATTCACCAAGAAAAATTTATAGTTTGACCATATATATGTATAGCACTGACAACATAAAATATATGGCTTATTTACTATCATCCGCCCTATTATTGTCTACAATAACCATGCGTCACTGAAAGGCAAATCATATATGTGTTGACAAATATGCCAAGCTCAAAATAGCAATTGTATGATTTGCATTGACAGCATTAAAATTATTGTAGTAATCATTAATATCTGATAAAAGAAAAAGTTTAAAGTGTTGAGTTTTAAATCTCAAATGCATTAAATATAATTTTTAAAATTTTAATGAAATAATATAATAAAATTTTAAATATTTAACAGTTTAATAAAGAAAAAGGAGGGATATGACATATGATAATTGATATGGCTATGATATAGTATAGGAGATGGAATCTAAAGACAGTGTTCGGGACTATATAAAAAGAAAAAAGGACTTGGATATAAACTAAAATAAAGTACTTATCTGAGTATGAAAACCTCAATATCTGTTTATGCATTGGTCAGTGCATGTTCATGCTACTGCTAGTCTACTGCTACTACTACTCCTACCTATTTTCCAAATCCCATGCTGCATCATGCATCAGCTTGAAGATTGAGGGGGTTTCTATTCGTATTTCTTTCTCTGCACAGGAAAAGAAAAAAAAAAAAAAGGAAAAGAGGAAAATTAGATTACATTAGAAAATAAGAAAGTGGGAAAATGCTTTATTGTGGGACCCAGAAACAAAAGTATGGTAGTAGTACCAAAGTATACTACAAAAACCAACTCAGCTTTATTCATCGGACAGAAAAAGAGAAAGAAGTGAAGAAGCAAACAAAAACATAGCAAATGCCAAGAAAAGATTGGGATTTCAAGTAAAGCCCACTGAAGTCTGACTTTCGACTTCCCCTTTTGTCTCTTCAGCCCTCTGTCTCTCTCTCTTTCCCTCTCTTTGTTTTTTGCTTTTCTTTTTATCCTTGCCATCACCATAATAAATAATGTCGGTTGTGATTTTTTTTTTTTACTCTTTTATCCCTCTGTAGTCTGTATGGCTTTAAAGTACTGCTGCACTGCCACAACAAGGGACAGAAAGGACTCTGGCATCTGAAACCAAACATGGGGTAGAACAAGAAAGTAGGGTCCCTCTACATAAGCCACTAGATGCATGACAAGTCTATCCTCATTATCTCTTTGGTTCTTAGGGTTAGGAGCCGATTTATAAAAGGAAAAGTTGGAAATAAGAACAGGTTATTACACCAAGTGAGTGGATACTTATAGTTAGAAAGGGAAGAGAGGGTGGTGGATTTGATTCCTTGTGTCGGTGATGGAACCTTGTTGTTTAGATGGCTGATGGCGCCTGATGCTGATCTGATTATGCAAAGGATAGTGCGGTCCTTCTGTTTTCCGAAACACCCTCCATGCCTATTATCAAACATCAAACTAACAAATTACCGGTCACATCAATTCCATTTTCATGTCTAAGCATCGTTTTGATTTGTCAGTAATTCTTGAAGAGGTTGATCGATGATCCCACGGTCAGAAGCATCCCCTCGAGGACTAATTTCACTGAGACTTAAATGGCAGTTTTATGTTCTGTCCCATCCATCCTGGAGTTTTACATGAATCTGACTGATGCCAACCTCTTACTTCGCAATAGCCTCTAACAAAATACCCTTTCAACCAAGCCCAACTAAAAGCCCTACCCAACCCACAATTATTCTCAAGTTTCTTAGACTTGAACATGCTATATTGCTGGCTAGGACATAGCCAATGAGCCAACACGTACCAATTTTGATGTAATGGAAGCTCTAATTTTTACCAATGGAGAATTTCCTAACCCCACCACGTGCCCTTGCCATAAAAATACAAAGATCAAAAGCCACAAATTCTGCTTGCTGCAGCCTGCACGTTCGATAAAGATAAGAGCCATTGGACATGAAAGATTTTGATGGAAAAGCTACATTCAGCACCAACAGAGCCGAGTGACTTTTGAAATGACGTGTTGAGGGTGATAAGATTGGCCAGGTCCTTTTACCAGCTTTCCAAATTGTTCAAACTGTTATTGCTCACAAAATCAAAGATACAGCTCATTTTGGGCACTGTATATGTCACCTATGGATCAAATTGCAAGGTGGCTTGATCCTTTTTCCTTCCTGGGCCCTGGCCCATATCCCTCCACCCCAGCAAAATAAAAAAGATTCTGTCTGATTGTCATTGTAACTAGAATTCTTGATCAAGGGTAGTAGCAATGCATATGGAATCAAGTAAAGTTCCATTTCATTGTATATATTTTGACTTCTTGCATGTTGTTAAATTCTGAATTTAATTCGTTATTTGGGTTATTAAAGTTTTTTTCATTTATATGAAGGGTTGTCAAAAATATTTGATTGTTTTGTTTATTTTAAACTGATATTGATTGCCTTGATTTTTTTTTTTTTGGCATGTTTGATTTCTAAAATTACTTCAGATATTTTTTAAATTTAACATTTTATTTGAAGATGGATCCAATTTGACGTCTATCCATACATAAAAACCCAAAGCGAAGCTGAGGTGAAATTCTAGTTTCCAATAAAAACTCTGAATTAAGTGGAGATTGTTTCATGCTAGAAACAATTCTCGATGCCAAGCACAAGTGTCATAGTTTTAGTGAGGAGCCATAAATTTTATATCAACTATGTATTAGAATTGTTTTTGAGATATAAGTGTTCATACCACTTTCAATTTATGAGATCCTTTTTGTGAGACAAAACCTGAACTCTAATGAGTTGAAGCGGACAATATCTTATAAGTGAATGTGAACCACCATTTCTTCTATTAAATTGATCTGAGATGAGGAAGAGTCTATTCCCACGTCCTGGAATGGCACGAGTTTGGGGTTTGAGTCTCGGCCATAACAAGTAGTATCAGAACCGACTCTGGGAGTACTAACGATAAAAATGTGAAATTTCCATAAAAGCAGTAACATTTTGTTTCCAGGCATCTGGAAATTTTCATGTTGCTTAATTCAGCAGCAAATGAAATAGATTTTTCTACTATATTGACAATTAAGGTAAAATTTGATAGGGGCTTAACTTATTCCAGTGCCCACTTTTTCTTCCAGAAACTTATTTTTTTCCTCAAGCCTGGAGCCAGATCAAGCTTAAAAACAAAGAGATTATAGCACAAGCTTAGGCAACTCAAAACAGATTATAAAAACAAATGCCATTTATTTTATCTTCTGATGTCATTTCATTTACATGTTATGGTCCTAATGAAGAATGCATTTATTCAATAACAAGCAGATTCATTAATATAATTTTAATGCTTTCACTATCCACAAACATACTTTCCACACCAATTCATTGTCAATGCTCAATATCATTCTTAAGATCAATTAATACTCCAAGCACTGTTTTTACTATTATATTAAGCACTAAAGAATACAAAAGGAAGTACAAGGATAGAATAAGGAACATGAAAAGGTCCAACCACTTGAAATGGAACCATTTAAATCAAAGATTCTATCTTATGTGGTTGATGAATATTTTTATGCATTTAAAGTTGAATCAAATTATTGTATATCTATTCTTTCATTCTATGACTGGTAGATCACAAGAAATTGTGTGCACCTGAGCCATGAATAACTTTGGAAGAGTTGAGAGAATCATCTTTAGCAGCCATGAGCTGCAGACCCTTCTTGCTGGAGTTTTGACGAAACAACAACAAATAATCCTCATCAGTACTCCAAGAATGGAACTGGCAACCACATCTGATCGCATGGCAGTTCCATCTTCATGTTATGAACTCGATAAATATTAGCCGATAGCATAACAATGTACACGATGATGTCATTGAACACCCAATGATTCAGCAGAAGCAGTTATGGTTTCCAGAATTGATTGACATTCACCGGCTGAGGCTTCCATAGTATAAGATCTGCAACTGAAATAGAAAACAGTACTCATCATGGAATCAACAAGCACCACGAACGAATACATTATCACCAACAGAGGCCCTTCCCAGATCCTAGAAGACCCATCTCCATAGCTCAACGTCTTTACCCTATGTTCAAACAACCCCTCCACAAATGCCAACCCAATTGTAGATCCAAGAAATATCAAAAGACCAACCTGAGTCTGCCCTTTGATTAGAACACCAGCTCGAAGCAATGCCTGTGGTCCTGAAACTTTCTCCAAAACACAGATTACGATCCCAATATTGCAGACAACAATAGCATTCGCAAAAACAACTGAGAATACTAGCCCCATCATTATCACCGCAAAGACAATTAAATCAGGCGTAAACCCAATAACAGAAAGTACACTACATGCCGCAACAAGAAAAACACAGAAAGTTGTTACACAACCAACAATTACCATACACATCCACACATACGTAGAAAAAAGCCGCCTCCAAAACTTTCGAATTATCACAAAAAACGTTGAAATATCAGCTGTTTTCCTCGAATAAGTACAATCTACACAATAAACCACTGCGGCCTTTGATAACAAAGACAATGTGATGAACAAAGGGAAGCACATTGCTGAGGAAACAGCCGTCTCAGCAAAACGTTGGCATGGCTGTTTGATAAAAGGTCTCAAAGGAAGTCCACTGGTTTTGGCAACTAACAAAAGCCTAACAGTCAATCTCTTCACAATGGATTGATCAACTAACAAATTAGACATAAGGACTGCAGATACTGGGCAAATTAACAAAGCTGCGATGATCATAAAACCGAACGAATTGTACCGCAAAATCTTAACGGTTTCTCTTAAGATCTCTAATGCATTCATTGAATGGAATTGGTGGTCATGATCACTAACAATATGGGATGATTCTAGCTCAAAATTTTCTCCTTGAGTTTCCTTAAATCCTTCTTTTTCTAAGTGATCTAATCTCATTCGTGGAGAAGTAACGCTAGCAATTTCCATTTTAATCAATACCCATAAAAGATATCAATCCCAGCAGCTAAATAAACATTGGAAATGATAGAAAAACAAAAGGTGTAAATCAGATCCGAAAGAGCTGGACCCACCTATGGAACAGCTGAGAAGTCACAAAAAAAACACAGTGGAAATACTCAAACAAAGAATTGACGAGTGAAAAGCATGAAGATTGTAGGATTGAAGGGGAAATTTTGGGTATTCAATGTCAAAGGATTGGTTAGAAAACGTGTCAGTTCGGGTATCGTGGCTTTGGCCCTGGTGGGTTATACTGCATGAATTGTTCTGCAATTTTTTTTTTTTTTTATATATATTGCATCGCAAGAAGGGTCTGCCTAAAGGAAGTTAGCTGCCACTTTTGAGGGGCAATGCCATGGTGCCGGCGTTCGTTATTCTGGGCTTTTTGGGTTTTCAAGATTGGAAATTTTTTTTCCGACAGGTTTTGGTTTTTGACAGTTTTCGAATCTTGGGGCAAGAATCTTAAAGATTGGGCTTCTGACAAAACCAACACTTAAAAATACTACCACGTTTCATGTCCCATCAAGATTTACAGTAGGTCGGTGGTCCTTGAAACAAGCATATGGTCGTCAGTTTAATGAGATTTGTCTTACATTAACTGATGGAATTTTCTGATTTCTCAGACCTTTTTTCAAATCAAATCAGATTGTCCTATTTTTTATCTAATAATATTATTTTATAAAATAAAATATAAAAATAATACGATTTAAAATTATTATAATAATTATATATAAATTTAATAAAATAAAAAATTATATTTTATATTTTTACATTAATAATGCTAGGTAATTTTTTTTATAAAATATAATATTAATATAAAAATTTTAATAGTTAATAAGATATAAATAAACAAATTATTAGATCTGATTATTTTTATCACATTTTTTGTTTACGGGTTTAATTTTATTGGATTAATGGCCCATCAGGGAATTAACCAGGCTCAAACAAATGCTTGTATCTACTGGCCCAGAAAGAGACATAGGGCTTTGATTAAGAGATAGCTTCTTAAGCCCAAACAAATTATCCTTTAAGTTGTTTTGTTAGATATAATTATATTTTCAGTTTTAATTATTTAAATTAAAAATTCAGTGCTAGAAGTTGTTTTACAATTCAAAAATAATTTTAAAAACTATGACATGAAAAACACGGTCAAGTGACTTCCAAGAATTTTCACTTTCACGACCTTTTCAAAAATATTTTTTAATTAGAAAATAATTTTCAATGAAAAATTTTGACTGTTATATTTTTACTAAATTTATTCTAGAATTAATAATATGATAGAAAATTTGTTCTAAAGTTATAATGATAAAATTACATTAATTAAAAAATTAGTGGTAAATTAAATCTGTATTTATTTTATTATCGAAATTAAATAATATAATTCTCAGCAACTCTTTTTTGAAAAAATGTAATAGAAAAAAATTAAAGAAAGTTATATTACATTTCCAAAAGTTGACCGGACTTGGCGTATACTGACCGCCAATTGAATCTGTCCAAAAGGACTTCTGTCGAAATCATCGTTGATTTGTTCCGAGTAGCATAAAGGTAGGGCATCTCAATTACCTGCCTGCATCGAAAATCTTCTATCTTCTCGTCTGTCGTCCCTCCTTCATACGCCATGGCAACTCCACTTGCTCCGACGGTCCATATCGATATCTGGGCCATCTTATCCGAATCCAAACGGATAATCAACTCCCACTCCCGCCACTTCCTAGCTCTCTCCGTCCTCTTCCTTCTCCCTTTCTCCTTCTCCCTCTTCACCCTCCCTTTTATCAATCAACTCTTCTCCCAATCCTCTACTCCCACCATCGAAACCCACCTTGGCTCGCTTAGCAATCCTTTCCAACAACAACAGCCCCCAATCTTCCCCATTAAATACCTTATCTTCTCTCTCCTTAATACCCTTTTCAACTCCGTCTTCTCTCTCTTGGCCACGGGTTCTATTACTTACAGCGTTTTCCACGGCTTTTATGGCCGACCCGTCAAGCTTATATCCGCTATCAAGTCAGCTTTCACTTCCTTCTTCCGCCTTTTCTCAACTCTCCTTGTAACCGAGCTTATCATTTCTGGGGTCCTTTTTGTTCTGGCTTTGATCCTTTTTTCATTAGTCAGCATAACCCAAATCTTAGGCTTCCAAATTGAATTCTCTTCACCTTATTTCATTTCCCTTTGTATGGTTTTCGTGATTATTTTCATGTTTATTGTGTTCTATTTACAAGTGAATTGGGTATTTGCTTATGTTATTGTCGTGGTTGAATCAAGCTGGGGATATGAACCATTAAAACGAAGTCAAAATTTAGTTAAGGGACTGAAAAAGGTTGCTTTTTCGATCCTTCTGCTTTTCGGGTTACTGAGTGGGATTCTTACCTGGGCCTCAACTTTAAGATGGCTTCATTCAGCTGCTGATAAATGGAAAACTTGGCCATTTGTTATAGATATTGTGGCCTCTTCCTCTATCTTAATGTTTCTTATGCTTTATAATTTGGCTGCAAGTACAGTTTTTTATATTTATTCCGAGGCTATACATGGAGAACTTGCTGGGGAGATTGCTGAGGAATTTGCAAGAGAGTATGTAAGTTTGCCTTTTGATGATGGGAAAGTTCCTCATGTTGTTTCTATTGTTTACGCTTGATGGAAATAGGAATTTTGAGTTTTGTTTAAGCTCTGTTTTTTGTTGTTTCGTTTAGTGTTTTTCTAGTTTTACTTGTATTTGTGAAAAGAAAGATGTGTGAACAATGTAAAGATATGCTTCAGATTTGTAAGCATCAATAAATATTAAACGTGTTTGAGTTTGTTGATGATGCTTCTCTTTGCATTTGGGAGAAAAGGTTTTAGTTTGTTAGTTTTGTTTGTATTTGTCCATGATTTTGAACTGTTACAGGAAATGCTGGGGCTGGAACGATTTGAAGAATGAATGAAATCTTGGTTTTTATGCTGCTTGAATGGGATTAGAGCAATGATTTGAATAAAAAGCCTATTACTGGGTTGAACATTTCTGGACTATTTCATTTACTTCTATGCCAAGTCCCTTACTCATTTAAGCCTTCCATGTTTAATTAAAGATGCTTCTTGTTCCGCCAACAGGGGCATCCTCGTTGGATTTTGCTATTCATCCTTTAATTAAAGAAATTAGGACAACTGGATAAGTAGCCTTATTTGTGGAGTGCATCTGGGATATTGAACGGATGTTGTCTTGATCCATTGCGTTCTTAAGTGGCTCAGCAGCAACCATCGCATGGTTTAATGGTGGTTGTTTCGAGCCTTCGACGTACTATGACTTCGGGGCATGGAAGATTGTGTGCATGAATGCAATACCACTTTGCTTTCTGAAGATGGCAACACTGGGATTGATTCAATCCTCACGGATTGGTTTGTTTATAGCAACTTGAAATTTTGTTTCAATGACAGATAATTGGTATACCGAGACAAGCCACCTCCTGTTTTTGTTTTGGGTTAATGTTTTAGACGAACTTGCGGTGTGTGGTAACTGATCCATCTGCATGAACTACAACCTTGCTGGAAGAACACAAAAACATTGAGTAGATTAACATCAGAAAAAGTCCTAAACCCATATATTCATAGCTTGGATGCAGTACCGCATGGGCCTCAGATGGGCTAAAGACGGCCAGCCGGAGCACACATTGTGAACTTTATGAAGAGAGAAGTGATTCAACATGGGCTGTACGTAAATTTTTTCACTTTCTTCCAGAAAATCAGGAAATGTTCAAGAGAAGTACCATGAGGAATCACTTTCACCAAAACCCACACGCAAATACAATGGAGTGTTATACCCAGGACATACAAAAAACCTTTCCTTCTTGTCAATCCCACAAATGCAAGTGCCAAATAACTGACTCTTCAATGAAACTCGTGTAGCTAGTGTTGCCTCGATGGAAATCAGAGTCGTCTTTACAGCCGTCGTCATCCCTTCCCATGAGGCCCTGACTTTGAGGATCTCAAAAGCCAATATTCAAAAAATTCCAAATCAATTGAACGAGGATTGTCTCTCTGGTACTTGTAATTCTCACGTCCATAAATTAAAGAATGAACTTTTTAATCCAAATCAATTAACGTCATTGATTCACAATAAGTCACAGCATTCTATTGTTAGTCTGGCTGGAAGAAGATGGTGCTTTTAGTTTAACAACCCTCTCATCCTGTTCAGAACCAAAGAGAACATTGCTCCAGTTTGTTGATCTCTGGATCATTCTGGAAGGAACTCGATCACTATCTTCCCCACCAGATGCTTCATACCCATCACTAGTAGATCTCGACAATGGAAATCCCTTCTGAGCACCCATTGTGACAGGAGGTAAACCTGTAAGTCGTGTTGATTCTTCAGCTCCTGATGAAGAGACTCGAAATGGATGAATATCTGGTGAGTCTAAACTGCTCTCAGGTGAAGAGGCAACAATCCCAACAGAGCCTGACATTGCTCGGCTAGTTTGGAAAGCACTTAGAGCTTCCCGCTGAAGAGGTGCCAAACTACTTGATGTGTCATTGAAACCTTTTTCAGCTGCTTTAGCAGGAATGTTCATTAAGGGCTCCAGGGGCAGGTCAGCTGGAAGACGCACCCGCTTAGATGCTCTTCTTCTGTTGCCATCAGGTCTGGGGAACATTCGCCTGCCACTGCTGCCAAAGCTGCTGTCAGCTTCTGGCCCAAAAGGGGCTTCATGTCTCACCACAGGCTGCAGGATTTTTGACTTTTTCCTTGCTTCAGCTGCGGCTTTTGAAACATCTTCCGCATTTAACCGTGCCAACATCCATGGACTGATCTTAACTGCTCCGGGGTTCTTCTTCCTAATCGGTTCCTCCCCTGCCATTTTTTTTCCAAATGAACTCACAGATGCAGTATCCGGAGGAACAACGTCAAACTAGCACCGATACACAAACAACTATCAGCTTCAGCAAAAAGATAAACTAATTGTACAATGTACAATTTCAAATCCATATTAATTCTCTTGAAGATGAAGGTTTTGTCAAAATTACCTGATCTTCAAGGAACAGGCGTGGGGGAGTACACCATGCACCCCTGTGAAAAGTAGAAAAGGAACTAGCACTACTTAATCCAGTAAGTGAGCTGACAGGAGACATTTGTGGACTGTGCTGACCAACAACTCCTTGTTGCTCTTGCTCCTGCTCACGCAAAGCTATTATGTAATCATACGTGGTGATTCCCTGAGACACATTCAGGCATGACCTAATTAGCTCATTGGTTTTTTTCTTTCTTTACTTCTTAATACTCATTAGGATTTGACTTTTGCAAGATAAGACAGGAAGAAATTCAAGCCTTCTCCCACTCGAGTATTAAAACAAAAACAACCTTCACATGGTAGAAAAGTTTTGGCAAGCTTACCTTTTTCATGAGTAGAATGTGAAAGAAGAAAAGCTGTGCAAGAGGTAATGTTGCAATCATAGCCAAAATGGAGCACAACGCCTGTAAAAGTAAGAAATTACACTACTTAGCTCAACGTTTTAAATTGAAGGGTGCTAGTAATTAATAGATTTGTTTTTGTAATCTCCTAAATGCTAAACTAAAGCAAGCTAAAAAGATAAATTAGAATTGGTAACACATAGCCTTGAGTAGTAGCAGTGTAAATTAAAAGGACAAAAGATGGGGGAAATAAGGATTACTGTATATATTAACAGAACACTTACAACCACAATAACAAATGGAACCAAAGAGAAACTGCTTCCCAACTTCGATGCAATATCCAAAGAAAACTGCTTCCTCTCAATGAAACAGCAGATAAGTACAAGGATTCCAGTCGACCATTGTAGAATAAGCTGCAATCTCAAGCCCAAGGTAGACAAACCATGTATATACCTGTCAATATTCAATTAAAATGAAAATGACTAGAAAATAAAAAGGCTTACTCTGGGTTTTCTTCATTTCTGGCACTGTGGAATCATGGCACCAATCTCATGATGTTATATGGGACAGGAATTATTCAAGAATTTGGCATTCAATTGAAATATAATACGACAAGAGAATAGAGGACAATTCTAAGGTCCAAAGTGAGCAACAAACATCGTTTATTGTTTATTGATTACTGGAATGCTGGTAACAAGAATACAAGCTGAAATTGTTGTTATCAAATAACAAGCATAGTGTAATTGTTCTCAAAGATCAGTATATGAGATGTTCCTAAGAAAGAGGTTGGCTATAAAGGAATATGGGATCTCAAAGAAATATACAGTATTATATAATGTAATATGATGATTCTGATCTGATTTGAACACAGAAGTTGGAAACCTGTGCTTACCAATAGAAGGGCAGAAACCATGAGAGTGAAAAATTGTCGGTAGTTCCTTTTGCCTATGCAATTGTTTAGCCACTACAGAAACCAAGGGAATTAAAGAAGCATTAGCAGAACCATTGATGAAGTGGAAAAAGTATCCAACAAATTAAGATCCACCAATACCCTGCAGTGATGATCGAAATGGTCAACACATTTGTCACAGACTCTGCAGTGCTTGCTATATTTGAAAACCTGCCAAGAATAAACTTAATAAAGTTAAACTACCTATGATATCAAAACAAAAGGCAATACCATAAGTCCTAATATCATCATAAAGCTGATGCAAGAACCATGAGCCTCAGAATCATTACGTTTTAATTTGATCAAACAAAGGTGTCATTCCAGGATATCCTTTCCCGTGAAATTCTTTTTGCATACATTTTCAGTAAAATTCAAAACAGGCACAGTTGACTTCTCAAGACCTGGCCATTAATATGCAATCATAGACTACGAAACTTTTTTTCCCTCTTAAGCTATGTCAACATAGGGAACTTTGGTCATGTTTGGTATACAAGATTATGATAGGATAGGATAAGATGATATTATGAATAAGATTAGATTAAATAATGTCATCCTATTTTGTGTTTGATGTATGCAATGATTAAAATAGGATAATTTATTTATTTGTCAAAATTATCCATAATGTAATAACTGTAACATAAATAAGAAGAAAAAACAATAGAACATTAGAGATGTTAAATGCTTCTTTACCTCAACTTCACACAAACTGCAATAAAACATGCCATCTTCACTCATCTGTTGCTCAGAAGATTCTTTGTTTGAGCTAGAGCATTTGCAGAAAAAAGCACAAGGAAAGAAAATCCATAGCAAACAAGACGATTGCTTCAATGAAGCATCGTTTGCCCCAATTTCAACACCGGTGTCTTTCAAGGTTTCACCTGTAGCTGCTGCATCCTTTTCCAGAGTTTTTCCTCCAGCTGAAGTAGCATTATCATCATGCAACGACGTAGTTGAATCCCCACCTAATTTAGAATCCTTTGGTCCAGCACACTTTCCGTTTTCGGGAATTTTGAGATACTTTTTGGACTTAAAGACTCCAGGATCTGCAGGATCTGCCGCCGCACACCAAATATATAGGCCAAAGCAACATGTAATCTAAAAGAACAATCTTGTTACTAACCCTCCAAGGTGATAAGGACACATCAAATACAATAAAAATGGAGCAGAATGGGTACCATATATAACTCTCTATCATATACAGTATTATAGCACCATTAATTAGTACTTGAGGACAAGACTCAGGAAATGACTCAACCTTGCACACTGACATTGAATTATACGATTAGTTATGACTTGTGGACAAGACTCAAGAAATGACTCAACCATGCATATTTAGCACATAAAAATCGTTAGCATATTTCATGACCGACATGAATGCAAATCAAACTACGGGTTAAATCAACTAAAAAGCTATGCTAAAGTCCATGACTAGAGTCTAACGTACCAATTGGTCATCTATGTGCCAACACTATACTTTAAACAGCATATTATTTGAGTTCAATGAAATCTCTTTCAATAGGCTAACTTGCTTAACCATCTGAACTGCAATGAGATTTCCTGTCCCACAAAATACCGAGTTCTAAGCTAGACTCAATTAGGCCAAGTGCAGTTACAGTACATTAACAGCATGGGAAAGTTCGGAATGGAAGTTCATTTCCAAGTTTAATCTGAATACACTCTGTACTACTATTAGTCTATTACTCAAATGTTGATATTCATACGTTTAAATCTCCTGTTTGCAGTGAATTGTGACACCAGTTTAGCAATTCATGATTAACAATTTCTGAAGGTAAATAATTTATTTAATTATTTAGACACTTCACCTATCAGATTCCAATAGCAATAGAACCCAAGATTACAGAAGAAAACAAAGCTAGGATTTTTCTCCTGGGTTGTATGGACCACCATGAGAGAGGAAAAACGTAAGTACCATTTTGAAGCTCAAAGTATCATTGAGGAACTTAGGTTTTTCCAGGAAGAGCCAATTGTTCTGAACTTGTTCCATTAAAAAAAAAAAAAATCAACATCAATAACTTTAACTACTTTATTCAAGAATGCATGGTACAAAAACGAAGGAGCATACAATCAGCTCTTAATCAGAAGAAATTTATAAGTAGTCTTCCGCCAAATCAAGTGGCAACTAATAATCCCTTAACGGACGAAATTTGAAATTCCCCTACAGAATCAGTGCCTACTAAAAGGAACAGTACCTAAAAGACAAGCAACACTTTTGCCCTTATCAGCTAAAGTGACAGGTTGATGATATGCTTGAGAGAGTCTATTCAGATAAAACACCAAAAGAAAATCATATCTCGGAAAAGGAAAGGACCATTAGTAGAGAAAATCACCACAGTGATGAAAGCAAACACATGAACGAGACCAACATGTGAAGAAAACATAGATCTCAGTTCTTCCACCAACTACAGAAAAACTAAAAGGAAAATGTTGAAATGGCAGGCTTACAAGAGGAGTATAGATTCCCATCGCAATATATTGAAACATCTTCTTCCCAACAAATGGAGCAAAGAACACATAGAAAGCAAATCCAAGTGCCAAGAACACAGCAACAGCCACCACCTTCACAAAGACAAGGAAAAAAAAATGAAAACTTTACTCAATACCCAGAATTGAAGCGACAAAACAGCTCAGAAATTTACATAAAAAAAGGAATAGCAACAAGGAAAAGAACCAAAAAGAAAAAAAAAATACCTGGAGTGGATGATAAGGAAGCTGCCATCCATGCTTCCTCATTTTCGCATCAAATGATGCAGCCCCAGCAAAAAGTAAAACAAAAACAGGAAAGGAAGAAAAAGAAGAGTGAAAGTGTATGAAACCAAAAAAAAAAAGTAAAAATCTTGGTGTATTAGCTGGTTTTGGCCTATACTTATTTTCTCAAACTTTCCCTCATTTTCCGGGGAAAGTAAAGATCACTCATTTCACCAGACCACCAACCAAACAAAAGCAGCATTACCCAATTTTTTATTTTAACGGGTCCAATCAGAAAAAAAAAAAAAAGAATAAGGAAGTTGAAGAAGATAGGTTTTGGACAATGAGGAAACCTTTGTCTGGTTCACTCAAATCATGGCCCTGCCTCATGCAAGGAAAGAGAAAAGAAATGAACAAGAAAAAACAAGGGCTAGTCTGGGGTTTGGGTTTTTCTTTGTTTCTTTTGTAAAGCTTTTTACTTGGCTAAAGGTCTGTCCCCAGACTCACAACTGTAACAATAAGAGAGAGAATCTGGTTTTCTTTCCATGCCTATAATTACCTCTCAACCTACTTTTTCTTATAATATAATATATATATATATATATATCCATACAGATTTATTTAAATTAATATTATTTTTATTTTTATTTTTATTTTTAAATTTAAATTATTACTTTATTTAAATCAAAATAATATTTTAAATTTAATATATTTTATTTAAAATTTTAAATACATCAATATAAATAGATTGTTTTACCATATAGATTTACATAATTTTTTTTTGTTTTTAGTGTTATTTTTTCATCGAAGACAAATCATGTGGTATAGAAAAAACATTTTATTTATAATTCTTTTTATTATAAGATTATAATAATTTAATTATAATAAAAATTATTTAAAAACTCATCACTTATAAATATAAATTTTATATATAATTTTAATAAATTATACATTATTTTAAATTATAATTAATTAATGATATTATAATTCCCTTATTACAGGCCTAACGCAACAGACATTCGTTCGATTTCACCTTGTGTGATTGCCTTCACCAGCCATTGTCTTAAAATTCCTTTATTTTTTAGTATTTCCAAAATCTTCAACATTACTCACTTATCAATTTTTGGCTCCACAATGTTTTTTTTTTTTTAAATAGTTATTCGGTTCTTCAATAATTCAAATTAAATTGTGATGTAGAATACACATACTCAATACCAACAAAAACATCAACAACATTTTAATTCAAATTTACTATCCGATGTGACAAACGATTGATACATTAAACCGCCAAAAGTCATTAAATTTTTTAATTTTATTAATCGGATTCAAACATTAATAATATCAAATATAATATTAAATAAATTTCATTATAATTAATATTTAAATTTAATTAATAATATAATAAATTCATCAAAAATGTAATGAAATTCAAACTTAATTTAATATTGATTGATTTCTGTTCAAAAAATTTCAATTCTTTTTTTTTTTAAGTAAGGAGTAGTTGATGCCTATAAGAAAATGAACTTTGCAGCTACAAACCAAGCCATGTGTTTCAAACACTAGCCGGGGTTGATGAAATTTTAAATTAAAATTAAAAAAAAAAAAACCCAACTTGTTTGGGTATTTAATGCATGTTTCTTTCATTTATTGGGTAATTTATTCTGTACTTTCGTGAGTCTGAAATTTTTGGCAATTTGTCAAAATCTATATGGTGTTAGCAAAGATGCAACTCTTTCACTCACGCGACTGTAAATTTTAAGTGGATAATTAATAATGGTGGTTAAGTTTAAATTAGCCGTACCAAAAGTTGTCAAATATTCTATTTTCGTTACTGTATTAATTATCAATCTTTCAATTTGTATAATTTTATCATAATACTTTTAATTTTGGAGCAAATTGAACACAATACTTTAAAATTTTGAGTAATTAAAGAATAATTAGTAAAAAATTCTATTAGAAATTATTTTATAGTTCAAAAAATAATTTCAAAAATAATATGACAAGAAAAAAAACCAAAACTAAAAATATTTTATTTTTATTTTTTATCAATTTATTTTCTATTAAATATAATGTCACATAATCAAAAATTTTCTTTTTTTTTTTTCATTTCATCATGACATTTTTTGCTACATATAATACCATGTTTTTTTTTTCAGATATTTTAATTATAAAACAATTTTAGCATAACTTTCTTCTGAATATTCTTTAATTGCTTCAAAATTTGAATTATATACCCATTATATATACAAATAATAAAAGTTAAATTATGAATAATTTGAATTTTTAATAAAATATTGGATTTTAAATTTTGGTGATTCAAATTCAACTTATAATAATTTAAAAAAAAAAAAAACAACAACAAAAAATTAAATTTAGAAGTGTCAGTATAAAAGTGCACAAATGTGAACTCTTACACCTGAAAATCAAGTTCAGTTTGATAATAAAAGGATGAATTAAAATGTATATTTGGTAAAATAAAAAAAATACAACAAGGATATTTGATTTTAATTCTTTAATTTAAAAATAAGAGATTAAGAAAATAAAAAAATATATAAAAAAGGTGAAAGAATATGAAACTAATGGTTTTGATGAGAAATAGTCATAATTAAGAATATAATTAATTGAATTTGAGTCGATATAATATTAAATTCGAACTCAAAATTAAGCTTGACTAAAAATTTAAAATACAAAATATGATTTAAACTCGATCAAATTTTATTTTTTTAACTCAAACTCGACTCAAAATAAAAATCGAATTCGTTAAATTAGACTCAATTAATATGTAAAAATAAATTTAATTTTTATATTTAATAAAAATTTAATTATTTATACTTGAACTTAAATTTATGATATTTTATTAATTAAAATAATTAAAATATAAAAATTCGATTAAACTTAAAATTATTCAAATAAAATATAAAAATATTTAAATTTAATTTCATTGATAAATCAAAGTATTTAAATTTTAACTTAAACTTAATTTAATATAATATAATTAAATTTAAATTTTATTCAAATTAAATTTGACTAATTTATAAATATTAATATTTTAATCACACTCGTAAAGAATAGCGCAGTTGCGTTGGCTTCTTAAACGGCAACTAACGTAACAGCGAGAAAAAGATTGTGCACGGTACTGGGTACAAGGGCAGGGGAAGGATGGGTCCAAATGGAGATTCTCAAAGCTTTGAGAAAACTGCATTTGGCATTTTCTTGTCAGATTTTGGACTTGCTGATAACTTGTTCTACTTGTAAATTTTTGAGATTTTGCTGCCTGCATCGGCGCTGTACTTAGGCAGTTCCTTTTACATATATATCACTACCCCTTATTTTTTACTTGACTTTTGATTACTGATTAAAGTTGACTTTGTTCATCTCGGAGTCCATTTTTTTATATAAAACATTTTGGGTAAATCGCACAAGAAAATTGTGAGAGAATCGAATTTTAATTTTATAAATATTTATTTTTAAAAATAAATTATTTAAGTTAATGAACAAACTTGTTTTTTATAAACCCATTTTTGTTAATTCGTTTGTAACATAAAAATATTAATGTGTTATGCAAATTGATCCTATTATGCATATTTAATTAATTGTATTAATGGATTAATTTTTATTACTAAGTAAATTACTATCCATTTATCTACTGTACGTGTACCCATACAACTACAATTTGTTAACATGATTATAAGAATTGTCAACCAATCTTAATTGCTAATTATAAGGAAGAAATTGCATTACTTGATAAATTAAGTAAATATTTTTAATATTTAAAAATTTTAAAGATTAAATTTTTATTAATAAAATAAAAATTTTAATATTTGATTAACATATCAACTATTAATAGCATATTAAAAATCTCTTTAATTGTTAGATGAAAAAAACTTTCGTTGCATCGTTTAAGTTTATATTTGATATATTATAATTATATATATTTCATATATTATTAATAAATTATATTAAATTTAATAAATAAATATTAATTTTTAAAATATATAAAAATTAATATTTTTTTAATAATTAACTTATTAACGATATCTCATAATTTAATTTATAATAAAATAATATCATTCCATTTTTTTATAGCACGTTAAAATTAATTTACTATATAATATAAAAAACAAACCCTTACATTTTATGATAGAATATCCAAAGATCGGCTGAATAAATTCCAAAGTACATGAAAGAGGAAAACAATGGCCAACAAGGACAATGATGCTTAGCTTCATGGAATGGCATTTTGGTAATAGAAAAAGCTTTGGGATAAAATAAACAAAGAAGAAAAACAGTGGCGGGCAGAGGAGCAGAGCAGTTGTCGTAGTAAAAGATGGAGAAAATTTAAAAACGGCGTTATACCTAGGGAAGGGAAGCCTGTCGAACACGCTCAAATGCCGTTAATGAATTTCTTTGGATCTCTGTCTGTCCTTCCACAAAGATAAGATAATCTAAATTACCGTAAAAAAATTAAATTACTATGATTTAAAATTTTAATAAAATTAAAAATGTATATTTTATATATTTATATTTATATAAATTAGTATAGATAATTTTTACATAAAATATAATATAAATATATAAATTATTAATATTTTTTATCTACGAATATATAAATGTTTCGAAGTTCTTCGGCTGATCCAACAGATTCTGCTCCACATTGATGGGATTTACAAGCCATTGGAATTTGTAACAAGTGTTTTCGTAGTAATAGTAGTATTTTTTTAATTAGGTTAATCGAATTCCGTGTTTAATTAATTGTTTTTTTTTGGTACAATGTGTTTAATTGTTTATAAATATTTGTTATTTTTAATTAAATTTTCATTGACATTTATAAAAAAAAATATTTAAAAAAAATCTTAATATTTTATAAAAAATTTTAAAATTAAAAAATAATTCGTCTTAATCACTGATATTTTAAATATAAAAAGTATATTTTTATTAATATTAATATTCTAAAAGTTGGTTTTAGTTGTATTAAAATGGAATAAAACTAACTAAATTTGTGGATAAATCTCAAGAGTTTATTGTCCTTTATTCATAAACAATATAATTTCTTTTCATTTGAAATTAATAAAAAATGGAATTATAAGTAATACTAGTGGTTATTAATTTTGTTGAAAAACTACTTAAATTTTATAATAAATAAATTTTAAAATTAAACTATGGTTGTACAATATAAAAAGATATAAACCTCAATTTATTGTAAATTCATTTTTTAAAGTTTAGTTAGAAGAAGAAAACAAATGAAGGAAAGAGCACTAGGGTGGGAATTGGAAAGTGCATGCCATTATTATTATTATTATTATTTATAAAAACATTTAATTGAATATTTAATGCAACTAATGAATAAAGAAATTAAAATTATTTTTAGAAAGAAACGTCATATGACCCGTGACCTTCGTCTTTTGAGACACGTGATTGATACCCGTGACATACATTATGACCCAAGGACATCACCTCCTCAAATGTTTGACAATCATATTTTTACATTGATGCAAAAACAATGTTAGCTTTTAACTAAATAACAGTACTTTTTTTTTAA